CTTTGTCCACTCTTTAATTGTTTTTCATAACTCACTGATGGTCTGAGAACACAATATGTCTTTAATGTGTGTGTTACTTTTCTTCTTACAAAGGGAATGCTGAGACTGTCGCTTCTCCTGGGCCACGTGCTTCTACATCCAGCAGTTGTGACTGCCAGGACACAATCATCCTTCCTGTTAGTTCTGCTTCAAGGCATCAGTGATTGGGCGACAAGGCTAAGCATGTATGACTTGAGTGAAGGTGTACAACTTGAAAACTGTACATACATAGAATAGCATATGCTGTACTTTTTGAAATGCTTGATTGTAATACCAAATTTATCTTTCCTTTTTATGTAGTTGGTGAAAGACATTATTTCCAAAAAGCCTTAGGGCTAGGTTAATGCAGTACAATCGAACAAATTCTTTGGCAGTTGACACCTGGAAAAAAATGGGGAACATTCTTGCTGCTGATAAAAATGGGTATGTTTTTATTTATCTGCAGAAATTAATGTGCAGGATTGGTAATTTATCTGTCTCATTTTGCAGTATATCTCCACTCAGACAAGTGAAAGAAAAATATAGGGATAATAAAAGGATTGTGAACTTGTTCCCCCATCTCTGGGTCCCCTTCTCAGAAAATGGACATGTGAGTTATTTTTCACTATATTACCCTTTTTTGCCCTGATATACCTTTTATTCTCTAAAATTTATTTATTTCTTTATTTATTTTTTTGTTACACCCAGGAGCATTATTATGATGGTAGAAGTGACAGGGACTACTTGACCTGGAGGCTTAAATACATTCAAAGATGCAATGCTCAAGAAAGAAGATCAATTGAAGGTCACTTTAAAATACATCAGACAAAATATATTAAATTTGATGTCTGTTTTGTGCTGCAGTTATCTTGATTATTTGTGCATTCCAGTCTTCTCCACTGACTGAATGAGCGGTAAAGAACTTTTGGGAGGACCAGCTGCCATATGGGAGTCCCAGTATCTTCCAGAGGCACCAGTGACTGAAGAAGAATATCGAGAGGCCATGTCACTGAGACACTCCGCTGATGAAAACACAGTGAAGAAGAAAATGAAGTAAACTTTTGCTCATTGTCAAAGCATGGTCCTGGACCCCCAGTTGTCAAGCAGCATACTGTCACACTTGCCTCGATTCAAAGACATCAAAGGACTGGTAATTATCAATTACAATACATTTTAAAAAAAGGCACAGTCAGCTGCAAATTCATGTAGGCCTGAACTATTCTGTTTTCTCAATGCAGATTGAACAAGATTTTATTCTGATGTTTGGTGAGGATGTATCTGGTAAGCTTCTGGAGAAATGGCCAGCAATGTTCAAGGAGAAGATAATCAAGCAGTGCATAAAGCTTCCCTCCACCCCAAAGCTGGATGACCTCCTGTTGGCTGCAGATCCTCAGGCGGATGATGCTGGTGGTGCTGACTTTGGTAAGTTATTAGCTAACTTTTCAAATTCTTTGTTAATATGCAAATGTCACATGAGAATTAAAACTCAATTCAAAACTAACCTCTGTTTTTAAGTAAAGTAATTGTGTGCTTTTGTTTTAAGGCTGGCTTAGTGAATTTGCTTCAATTTTGCTGCTTCTGTTGCATCTTGCTCAAGGCTGTAATAAAATGGAGAAGATGTCAGAATCTCAAGCAGAAAAACATCTTGTGGTCTTCAAGAAGGTGTGCAGAGTTTCTTGATCATATCATTGAAATTGATGTTTGTTTCTAATCATTATTATGATGTCATTAACCTGCGTGCAGAATTGCCTCCATTTTATTTCTGTCTACAGATCACTTTTATGCTATTATTTAAAAACTAATCATCTTGTCTTTGTTTTTCAGTGTGGCACAAGTATTGAAGAGCATCTCGACAATATCACTTGAAGCACTCGCCTTGCATTTGGTACCCAAAGGAACAGGATCAGCCAGTACTTCATTATCCTGGACAAGACTCATCCCCTGTATGTCTAACTTTTCTTTAAGTGTTGAGTTGTTCAAGACACTTTTTGTGCACATCATACCACACCATGTTGTACAACATGTACACATTCATTCAGACCACAATTTACAATATTGATGTCAGCAAGGTGAGGGAGATACCTCGTATTGCAGAAATAAGAGCAAGGTTACTTCATTAACGTTCATGTTTCTATGAAGTGCATTGTTTGCTGTGCTGAGTTTGAGTTCAAATATGCTTGTTAGTCATATTAAACAGTTTCATGGGTTTCTTCCAGAGACAACCCTTTGCCTTAGATGTGTTCAGGATTGGATTATGTAGGTTCCTTCTCTGGATTTAGAAAGCACTTAAATGCCAAGCACACTGACCATACTTTACTAGCTACTGAATTGGCTGATGTTGTCTGAGATGTTGGTGTTAAAAGTCCTATATTACGAACACTGACTCTTGTGAGATTTAAGCCATGTTCTAATGCTGTCACCTCCTCATAAATGCCTTTAGTTGTGTTTCATTTCATTCACACATGTTTGAGTAACCCTTTATTCTTGGTCTGTCTACATCTCCATTTCTCAAAATGTTCTGTTCCACCTTGTCATATCATGAGGTTGTAGTTTTCAAGTTAACAGCTCCTTTTATCTTTAGTTCAGTAGACAGGAAGTTTCAGAGCTCAAATGGTTCTAGTGAAGGTGTATGGAGTTTAAAAACACAGTGGAGCACTTAATGTATTGCCACATGACATCACAAAGTGGAACAGTATGTTGTGAATGGAACAAAACACAACTCCAGGTATATTTGTAATGAGGACAGAACATAGATCAGAAAATAGTGTAATATGGGTCCTTTAATTGTCAAAGTGATTCACACACAGAAGCCATTTCTGTGACACTGTCTATTTTGACCAACATTTCTATGCTTTTGAGATCCAACGGCATCCAGACAAAGTTATAAAAGTTTTAACAGTGAACAAGTTGTATTACTATAAGCCATTTAATGTTCAATTGAAGTGTGGAACATTGGATTCATCCAAGTATGTTGTACCTTATTGTAATTTTGTATCTTTGGTCAATGTTTTAACATTAATAAATTGACATATTTGCCATTTGTGGTTTTATTTAGTAGTGTAAATTTCAATCTGCTACTCGATAAATTAGTGAAATTAACTCTTGCAAGAGTAAATATGATGATTAAATTTGACCCTTACAAAGAGTAATTTTTACTCTATTGTAGTGTTATATGTGTTATTAAAATTACTCTAATAAGTGTCATTAACAACACAACAGAGTAAAAAATGAACACCACTATTAGTACTATTCACTCTGTGTAGAGTAAATAATCTGCCAGAGTAAAGTTCTGAAAACACTACAGTGTGTCATCATCTTACTCTTTAAGTGTAATTTTGACACTGAAAATTTTTACTCTGAAGCTAGAGTAAATCTTACTCTGTACAGATAAGGACCATATACACTCGGAAATAGAGTAAAATTTTACTCTATAAGTGTTAATTTGACACTTGAAAATTTACTGTGCTCTATTCTTTCTCTCTCTCTCTCTCTCTCTCTCTCTAAACCTCCTCCTTTATAATCCTTGTATCAAGCAAAATATGAGCTCTCCACTCAGCACAAAACAGAAGTACAACTACTGCAAACAATGCAGTACTGCAGAAAAGTACTAGTACACAGTCAGCTGGGGAAAAGTACAGAGCTGCAATTTTAGATTTCCAAGATCTGCATTAAAAAGATCAGGAACCAGACCAGTACTAAACCAGTACTGAACCAGGACTATGTCAAAATAAACTTCACAACTCATTGCTGTCTGGCTTCAAAGAAGTGAGTACAAGTCCTGTGTATCTGATCCATCCTTCAGTGTCTAAACTCAGCCTTAAGTGTGTCTGCTGGACTATAGCTGGAGGATTATTGTGCAGAAACCAGACACAGGGAGGACATGCAAACTCCACAGAATGACTCAACATGACCTAGGACTTTCTTGCTGAGAGGATGCGCTAACAACTCTACCACTGCAAGCCCACTAAGCAATGAATGGACCACCAAGTCTAAAACTGGACTAAACCTAAAGAATGGAAGAGATTATATTAGTACAAAATGACTCCTCATACTTGGGTCTGTTTATGTTTTTACAGGTTAATTTAGGCTCATGTTTAAATGTAAGGTTTAAACATGAGCCTAAATTATGTTTAATGCAGGCTCATGTCCTGGTTCTGGTTTGGTTTTAGTGCAGGAACTAGGACTGGACTGGACCAGAACCAAAGCAGGAGGATTAAAGCAGGACTAAACCCAACACTAAAACTAACAAAAAAAATAAAAGAAAAAAGACTAAACCAAGACACTATTAGATTAAATCAGTTAAGCACATTTTGGATTTACATTAAGAATGACTTCTTCAGGAATCAAACTATTAACCCAGTCATCCTAGTAATAACACTGGACAAAACCAGCTCTCAACTGGGATTTTACTCGGACTAAACCAGGTTTAACAGACACAACTATGTTTCTTAGTTTTTTTTGTGTTTGCTCTTATTTTCTCTTTTTTTTTTTTTTGTCTATGGAGATTTTTTCACCCTACAATAATTATATCCTCAAAACATAGACTTGCAATGCATCTCCAAAGCTCAAAATGCTCTGTTCCACCTTGTGATGTCATAGTGGTGATTTTCAGGTTAACAGCTACATTTTTTTTTAACATTTACATTTATTTCAGTAGAGACGTACAATTCCAGAGCTGAAATTATCCAGCTGATTCTAGTGAAGATGTACGGAGTTTAAAAACACAGGGGAGCACTTCTGTATTACCCTAGAAGATGGAAGAGAGTGTTTTGTATTTGAGAGAACAACCTAAATATGAAGCCTTTGTGTATTAAAGATGTGTGAATGAAACAAAACCAACTCCAGGTCTGTTATTGATGGGGAACAATATTATAATGTACAGTAGATTATAAAATAGTGTAAAATAAATAATACATAAGAAAGTGCCCTGTATTCTGTGTGAGGAAATCATATATAGACAATAGTAAACTTCAAACAAAACAGACTTTACAATCAACTTTGGTTTAATTTAGGAATGTACAGAAATAGATTGTCATTTGATATATTACAAAATTGCTGTATAATATAAATATCTCATTAGAACTGTAGTCACATAACTGAGTATAAACTTATTTTGATAAAAGCTTCAAGAAAAACACAATTCATTCTTTTAAAAATGATTAGTTGATTTGATTTAAAAAGAGAGAGCAAATAGCACCAGAACCATCCAGTGACGTGGTTCATCTGAGCTGTGAAGGAAAAAGGGACTCCAGTTAGACTTTTGGAAATCACAGAATTTAAATCAATAGGAAGTCTTTTTAATTGACCATTTCTATTCAGTATAATAATTTGTGTGGAAATAAAAAAAATGGTCAAATCTGGACCCATGAACAATATTTAGAAGGTTTTGTGTCCAAATAATCTCTATCTTTCTGTAATTCCATCATAAAATATTTTATGTTTTAAAAACATAACTCAAATTAAAATTTAACCAAGACCATGCAAAATTAGGATTAAATTGAGAAGATCTTGACAAAAACAAAAGTTCTTGAAATTTGAAACACAAACAACCTGTATATTTTGTTTTCTGTTATGTGTCAAATTTTATATTAAGATAATTGTCTGTAACTATTTTCAATGTTTAAAAAGGGTGTATCAAGTTAAATCTGTAACTATACCTTAGACTTTAAGGTAGCACAAAGAAAGACTTAATTCATAATGAACAAATATCTTACTAAGAATAATTCAGGCTTAATTTACTTAATCCCAACTGCAACCCCAACTCACTCCTAAACATAACCTCTTAATAATTAAGTACTTACTAAATTATTAAGTCTGACTCATTCTTAAGAAACTATTTGTTCATTGTGAATTTATTGAGTATTTTTTATGCTTTATTGGACTGTTAGTGTAATTATTATAAAGTGTTAAGTCTAATTAACGTAATCAAAACATTTATTATGATTGTTGTATCAGAATCGGTATTAACTATCAAGTCTATTCCTTAGTATCAAAAATGAGTTTGAAATTGTAATATCTTGGCAAGATTAATTCAGTCCTCCATACTTATTTAGTTATGTTTTTTTTTTTTCACTCACCTCTGCATCTTCTTCAGCCCAGGAGCCAACAGTGAAGAGCAGCAACAGACACACACACCTGAGGGCGGCCATTTTGGATCCAGTTGCACAGCATTGCTCCTCTTCTCTTTATTTTTTTTTTTTTTTTTGTTTGAACTTGTTTAATCAGTTTGGTAAAAAAAACTGGACACTGCTTAGGAACATGCTCATTAAAACGAACAGTTGAGCTTTATTTGCAGACAAACATGTTTTAATATTCTTCTCCCTCCTCTTCTTCAGTTTGGTAAAAAACTGGACACTGCTTAGGAACATGCTCATTAAAACGAACAGTTGAGCTTTATTTGCAGACAAACATGTTTTAATATTCTTCTCCCTCCTCTTCTTCAGTTTGGTAAAAAAACTGGACACTGCTTAGGAACATGCTCATTAAAACGAACAGTTGAGCTTTATTTGCAGACAAACATGTTTTAATATTCTTCTCCCTCCTCTTCTTCAGTTTGGTAAAAAACTGGACACTGCTTAGGAACATGCTCATTAAAACGAACAGTTGAGCTTTATTTGCAGACAAACATGTTTTAATATTCTTCTCCCTCCTCTTCTTCAGTTTGGTAAAAAAACTGGACACTGCTTAGGAACATGCTCATTAAAACGAACAGTTGAGCTTTATTTGCAGACAAACATGTTTTAATATTCTTCTCCCTCCTCTTCTTCAGTTTGGTAAAAAACTGGACACTGCTTAGGAACATGCTCATTAAAACGAACAGTTGAGCTTTATTTGCAGACAAACATGTTTCAATATTCTTCTCCCTCCTCTTCTTCAGTTTGGTAAAAAAACTGGACACTGCTTAGGAACATGCTCATTAAAACGAACAGTTGAGCTTTATTTGCAGACAAACATGTTTTAATATTCTTCTCCCTCCTCTTCTTCAGTTTGGTAAAAAACTGGACACTGCTTAGGAACATGCTCATTAAAACGAACAGTTGAGCTTTATTTGCAGACAAACATGTTTTAATATTCTTCTCCCTCCTCTTCTTCAGTTTGGTAAAAAAAACTGGACACTGCTTAGGAACATGCTCATTAAAACGAACAGTTGAGCTTTATTTGCAGACAAACATGTTTTAATATTCTTCTCCCTCCTCTTCTTCAGTTTGGTAAAAAAAACTGGACACTGCTTAGGAACATGCTCATTAAAACGAACAGTTGAGCTTTATTTGCAGACAAACGTGTTTTAATATTCTTCTCCCTCCTCTTCTCCATCGACGCTGTCCAAACCCACCTCTTCATAATCCTTCTCCAGAGCAGCCATGTCCTCTCTGGCCTCGGAGAACTCTCCCTCCTCCATGCCCTCGCCCACGTACCAGTGCACGAAGGCCCTCTTGGCGTACATCAGGTCAAACTTGTGGTCCAGTCGAGCCCAGGCCTCAGCGATGGCTGTGGTGTTGCTCAACATGCAGACCGCACGCTGCACTTTGGCCAGGTCTCCTCCTGGCACCACTGTGGGCGGCTGGTAGTTGATCCCAACTTTGAAGCCTGTGGGGCACCAGTCCACGAACTGGATGCTGCGTTTGGTTTTGATGGTGGCAATGGCAGAGTTGACATCTTTGGGAACAACATCTCCACGATACAAAAGACAGCAGGCCATATATTTACCATGACGGGGATCACACTTGACCATCTGATCGGCTGGTTCAAAGCATGCGTTTGTGATGTTAGCGACAGTCAGCTGCTCGTGGTAGGCCTTCTCTGCAGAGATGACTGGAGCGTAGGTGGCTAGAGGGAAGTGGATGCGAGGGTAGGGCACCAAGTTGGTCTGAAACTCTGTCAGATCGACGTTCAGAGCTCCGTCGAAGCGCAGAGAGGCAGTGATGGAGGACACGATCTGCCCGATCAACCTGTTGAGGTTGGTGAAAGTGGGACGCTCGATGTCCAGGTTTCTGCGGCAGATGTCGTAGATGGCCTCATTGTCTTTTACCCATTGTTGGTTGCCAATTCAGTTGTATGATAAGCTTGTCATTTTGATTGTCGGCTGCCATTTTTGTCCAGCTGTCCGAGGCCAGTAGTTTTATGGATAGAAACTATAACAGAACAGACAAAACAGACAGAAATTAGCATAATCAAAAATAAACATTGGGAATAAAAATTGAAATTTTTCAAAAAGCATATGGCCTATACTCTCCTTCTATGTTTTTCTCCCCCTCTTCTCCTCCCTCTCTTCTGAAGCCCCAGTGGCAGAAGGTGGTCAGAGTTGTCCCTCAGGGTCTCTTTTTTTCCAGCGACGTCTAGACGTGGTCGACTTTTCTCCATCTTCATCAGTAGAATGAAACATGAGTGACATGCCAGTCACTGCCTCAGTTGGTTCTCCCATGACATCATGGTGTAGGATGGTAGGATGCTGAAGCCCACTGTCCGTAGAGAAGACATATGAAGTTCACTTTGTACTGGCCTGGGAAGGCTCCACTGCGACCAGGTGTCAAGCGTGGACATAGAACCAGCACAGGCATCTCCAGACGAGGCGCTCAGATGGGCGCTCAGTGCAGTTGTGTCGAATGATACTTCAAAGGCAGAACTGTTGACAGAAGTTGAACATGGACTGCGTCAGCTGGTAACAGAGTCGTCTGCAGACTGGAACCTGCAAACCACGATGTAGATCTCATATCAGTCACAGCACAGCAGTCAGTCACATGCTCCTCCTGAAACAGCCAAATCTTGACAGGTGAGTGGTAACACTGGGAATGTCCCCTGACGCGTGCACTCGTCAGGAGTGTATCCCCAGAGCTCGTAGTAGGAGAGGAACTCTCCAGATCACAGCTGTATAAAGTTGTCGTAGTCCATGGGCAGCAAGACTGGTAGAAGACAAGAACTCTGAGTGGAAGATGATCTCTACCCGGTTGTTGCAGAGACTAGTGCAGCACACTTAGTCAAGATGGGGTTAACAGCATTGTCCAGTATGTCGTAGGTAGTAGTGACCTCAGGCAGGCCACATCTCTGTGTAATGTGAATGTCTCTCCTCGTGATGGTGAAGTCGCCTCAGATGAAGTTCATGTCAGGGATCTGACCTCTTTCAGTGACTCCACGCTGAAGTCGTTGGTTTTAGCGGACATGATGAAAAAGACCACCAGAGTCACATCACTGCAGTGCAGCTTCTGTAGGTAGTTGAGGTGAAACAAAGACTCCAGGAAGATGTCAGCTCCTTTGTTGGAGCTCGTAGCATCTGGTGATAAAGAAAAACAGAGTCTCGTCCAGGTTAAAGTTCAAATGTCTACAGAAGTGTCCTCACGGAAACTTCTAGGTTTGCGTTACTGGTGACGTGGAAGTTCTGTAACTTGTAGATGGCTGAAAACTCCTTGGCATCGAAGCCTATCAGTCTCTTCTTCAAGCGCCTTTTCAGAAAACCATCAATTGATTTAATGTGACAAATGTGGTACATTGGGACATCTCATACTATTTTTGGTAGAGTGGATTACTATTAACTTTATTGTCATTTTACAAATTTTTTCTCTTTTTTTTTTAAATAGTAGATTGGTATTTTAGAGTGATTATTTCCTTCCTACACTTTATCACTTCTTGTCCTTAGTCCAATTTCTAAACAGAAAATTCAACTTGATGTAATTTGAAATCTCAATTTAGAAGCCAGCATTGCCTTATTACAGTTCTAATTAAGATTATTTATTTAAAATTTAAACAATTTTAGTATTCACATCAAATAACAGTTTATTTCGCAATCATTAATTAATTAGAGCAGGTTTCATAGGAAAATTCATGTCCATAAGATTAATACTGAGATCAAAAAAGGATTAAAATGCAAGTGAAGTCCAGGTTGTGGACAAACTAAACTAGGAAAAAGCAGAAATAAAAACTAAGATAAACCAAAGATAAACTCGGATTAATTCAGAACTAAACCATGATCAACCCAACCAGGTTTAAACTAGTACTAAACCAAGATTAACGCAGCTCTAACTCAGAACTAAACCAAAACCAGATTAGGTCCAAACAGGAACTAAACCAGGACCTATCCAGCTTTAAACCATATTTTAACATAAGATTAAATTTGTATACCAGCATTGAATCAGAACTAAACCAAGATTAGACTGGGACCAATCCCAGAACTAAGATAGAATTTAAAAGGACTGAATCAAGAAAAAAACAGAGCTAACCTGGTCTAAACTAGATGTAGACCATGTTTAACACTTGAAAAAATTAGTAAACCAGGACTAAACCTGAACCAAATCAATACTACACAAAGTCTAAACCAGAACCAGACTAAGATTAGACCAGGTCCTAATCAGATCGAGAACACTGGTTGCTTCTGTTCAACACTACAAAACGTGAATTTATTTTGACGGTAAACATTAAGAGACTACATTTAGACAAATAAATTTCTATTATAAACCATGTCAACTGAAAACTTCTAAAGGCAGTGTTTGTGCTAAGTCTGCAGATTGAGAATACATAAAAATAGGCATATCCTGTAGAGGTGATCTCAGATAATAGCTCCTTAGTTTTTTTATTGAAAATGTTCTAAAAGTGGGAAACTGATTTTATTTGCAGGATGTTTTGTCTCTTAGTGGGATAATTCTCATTTGGAAATGACAGTAATTCAAAGAAATCAAATAGAGATGCATACATAGTTTATTTTCCCTAATCCTTATTTAAATTTTGATATTACAGAGGATGAAGTAAAAAAGGCATTGATAAATCAAAGTTAAAAAAGCCACTGGATTTGATAATCTGTCTAATAAACTGCTGAAACAGCCTGATATGTCCTCAGTACTTTAAAATATTATTGTTTATTACTTATTTTAAGTCTTGTCCTCTCTGACTGGCAAAAAATCTATTATCAAACCAATCCTAAAATTTTCAACTGCAGATCCCCCAGTAACCATGAACTACAGAGGCCTCAGCCTTCTTAATGGTATATAAACCTTATTCTATTGTTCTTAATGAGAGGCTGGTCTGTTATCTAGAATCCTTTCATGTATTGGCCGAGGAGCATAACACATTTAGGAAGAAAAGAGCCTGTATGAATCGCATATAATGTTAGAAAACAAGAGGGAAACCCTACTTTTATTTGTTTTATTGACTTTCAGAAAGCCTTTGACTATGTAAATTGGGACCTGTTTTATTTTCAGCTGCTACATATTGATAATGACGGCAGATTTTATGATTCAATCTAAGCTATCTATAACATTTATTTTAATAAGTATAAACAAAAGGAGCACAATAAAACTTTATGTAAACCAAAATTAAGAACATATATCTTAATTAAAAACTGTTTTGGACCTGAATTGTATGTCACTGTGAACCTGCACCGACTACACAGTGTATGATACTAAAAGTAAACTAATTCTAAAACTAAAACTGTATAAAGGTAATAAGAGAATACTGCAAGAGAGACTTCAACTAATATTGATAACTGTAAACCATGTACGAATTATTTATTTTCAAGAATGTTTTCTCTAATTTGGACTCAAAACAACAACACTTTGGTAGCAAAATCTATCCTAGGGCACACCCATCAATCTCCAATCTGCAAATGTATGTCTACCTGCTATCAATCAACACTCATCCAGCCACACTGTTAAGAAATGAGATGTTGGATTTAATTAAAAATATTCCATCAACTGATTTTACACAAGCCTGTTGTCTAAATCTAAAAGACTTTATCAATTTCATTGTAGCAACAGGTTATTATTCAAAGCAATAGTGTCAATTAAATAAAAGTAAATGTTGCTTTAAGACTACTCAAAGCTTCTCTTTTCCCAATTCATACTGATTAATATATTAATATTGTTTTGTAATTTTTCAGCAATATTGTTTTCACTTAAACTATAAATCGTATATAAAAGCTACAAGAAATTTTAATCAGTATTAAATTAATAATATTAGGTTGGAATTAAGAAAATCGAGCAAATATAAAATAGGTTAAAGTTACTCTATACATTCAATGCAATTAAACATACTTAAATTTGAATAACGTTGTATTTCTCAAGAGTGTATATATGTCCCATTACACATTTCGCAAACTCTCACACCAACTTACGTAATTCCTTCAAATTTCTCCTGACCCACTTCGCACACCTTCATACCAACTTACGTATTTCCCATAGTTCGACACGTCACACCCTCTCATCAACTTTCCTAATTTCCATAAAAACTCGTGCTACACACCGCATACCCGCTTATCAACTTACTAATTCTTTCTGCCGTCCTCGCCTCCCAGGCCTCACACACTCTTAACCTTTCCGCATACAAACTCTAAGCTTCCCTGTGTACACACGCTAACCTCCCCGTATACACACGCTAACCTCTCCGCGTACACAGCCTGACCTCCCCGCGTACGCACGCCGCAACTCTGCTCGCCAATGCAACACCAAGCCGCTCCTGCACATGAATTTCCCAATTCATATACGAGAATAGCTCAGCACCACTAGTAAGCAGTAATACGGAGCGCACCGACATGAAAACACATACAGAATATCCCTTCAACAACAGCACGACAAACAAACAATAAATTTGCCATTTACAACTATGCCAACCAACGGACAACTAGCGTGCACCCCAAAAACAAAAATGCCATCAAAATATTAAATACGGTGCCTTTAATAGTTAAGCAATAATTAGTTATCCTACCTAGATCAGAAGGGACAGAAACAAAGGCGATTAGATGTAACCTGTATCGAATACACTTTTAGTTTAGCAGACTTTTATTTTGGCGACTTTATTTTTTGTGCTTTATTTGCTCATAATTTATCTTTGCCTTTCATTTTACTTTGAATACAGTTATAATTATCAACATTTTTGACTACTGGTTGTCATTCCTACCCTGTGCTCCTTTAATCACTGCTCTTCTTGTCCTATTAAACATCCTGTCGCTTAGCCTCAAAATTTAACGTTACATAAAGCATAGCCAAAACTTCTCTTCAAAATAGTTTTTTAACATGCCATATTCTTAGATCCTTTAATATTTTAGCGACATTAGATGAGTTTAGATGGTCACAGGTTCTCAGTTATTTCTAGTATTGGGAGGGTTACTCTTAAAATGTATGTAATTATGTTTTCCCCTACAGATTACAGATTAAATGCCTCAAAATGTAGTTTGTAACGCAATACAGTACATTAAATTACTTTAAAGTGAGTAACGTAATCTGAATACTTTGAATTACTTGATACTGTCATGCTTTTTAAACTACATGAACGAAGCAAACACATCCTGCAAATTCTTGTGGGATGGGATGTTTTGTCTACTTAAAGGCAATTAAAACCCCAGTTTTTCCTTAAGCCTATTAAAATTATTATTAATAGAGAAATGCTTCCTATATGAGTTCACTGCCGCTTTAAAATATGTTTACTTTACGATTTAGGTCTTATCTCGTTTAGACCTGGTTCAGTCCTGACCCTAGACTCAGTTCAGTCCAAAATGTAAAAACGGTAAAATACTGCCATGTAAGTCATTTATTTTAACAAAGTAACTATAATCCAGTTACCACTCATTGAAACGGTAAGCACAGTTACTCATAATTTATACTCTGATTACATAATGCTGGTACTTGTAATCCATTACTCCCCAAAACTGGTTATTTCTTTCACTATTTCATGTTTATATCAGATCCACTAATAGCATTTGTTAATTTGTCACTAAACTTGTTTGACTTGTTACTTGCAAACTTAAAGTTAAAACTGTTACAGTTTGACACTCTCTGCTCCGCAGGGTTTCTACTTGTTCTATTGACCTTCGGTCAATTCATATAATGTCATGTTCACTTGAACAGGCTCGCTTCCTTTTGACCTTCGGTCTTTTATAATAATTTCGTGTTCGTTTGAATATAACTTCATTGAACAGGCTTGTTTCTTTTTGAGCTCACAGTGTAAATAAAAAACACTAATACTTTTTTCTGCTTCTCAATTTAGATTTTATTTTTACAATAGGCCACTGTTTTTTAATCGGTTCTACTCTTTTGTTTCTATACCAAATTTGACTCCTTTCTCCATGTTCTACTTTTTTGTGCGCAACTTAAGTTTTTTATTCTTTTTTATATAAACTTCATTAAAAGCTTTGTTTTTTTTCTGCGTAAAAGTTTAACCACAGACATATATTTTCTTATAAAAGCTTTTCCTTTTCTCTCGTGCAAAGCCTAACACGGCACTTTTCTAATTACTAACTTTGTTAATTACGCTTTATCTTACTTAAAGCCTAAAAAAATACTATTATTTTTTTTTTGATTCACCAACTTTTTTTTTCCGTGAAGTTATAACACGATTCCGGCCATTAAAGCCACTTATTTTGACTTTCTTGACGTGAAGTCTAACACAATTCTTAATTATTTATCAATTGCTAATTTATTTATAGTTCCTTTAAAATTACCACTCAATTAGATATCGCAAGAGTCCCAGTAAAATAAGTACATCACATTTTTCGACATTAATTCAATAGACAGAAATTCTGACCTTTTTTTTTGTAGCGCGCTCTTTTGCAATGTCTTTTTTTGGGATTCTTGCGGAGTGACGTCTTGGACCTGCCTCCTCCAGAAGTCTTCATCGCAATCACGTCGCAGGTCACCAAATTGTCAGCTTCTTCTGGAGGGGCCTGAAAAGTGCCTTAAAAGAGAGTCCAGAAGGATTAAAGGTGTTCAGAAACATGTCTCTTTTATTAGGCTCACACAGGTACAGATCTCTTGATTCAAGTTGATTCACACAGCATCTCTCCACGTCACCCCTCCTAGTACAAGAAGAGCTGACAGCTTTATACTGACCATCTCGTCACAATATTGACAAACTGTAACTGGTATTTACAGGAAATTCACAGAAATGTTGACCTAGACAGTGTAAACACAGATAGTCATATGTTAAAGAGTTCAGACACTCACAGCTCTTGTGTCGCTGATGCGGTCAATTTCTGTTGGACTAAAAGACATGACTCAGGTGAATACAGGTTAGTGTGACCAGATTTGTGTTTGTCAAAACCAGGACACCGTACGAGGGGAGGGGACTCGTCATCGACATTGAGCGACTCTCACCTGGAAAAACTTTCCCACTGGACACCGTAACATATGTGCCGCTTTGTACACTGTGCACAAGGCCTCACACTTGTATTTTTTCTTGGCTGAAGAACAAGGTAACATATTTGGACATATGAAACTAGACATTGTAGAAAAGAAGGCGGACAGTTAAGTTATTCACGGATTTTCGCGGGCTCTCTGAAATGCGTCAGCTCCAACTTGCTCAACAACGTTCAGGCTAAACACGTTAAATAAGTTATTTGGTCGCTCTGCGGGTATTTAAGAGACGAGAAACGCACCATGTTCACATTTGTTTTGTAAATACGTCATCGGCACTCACCATTTTGATAACTCTACACCGACGGTTAAGAGTCTCTGGTAAAGTCAGCTCTCTGTCGCGGATTTGGGCGTTGCCTTTTATTTATAAATTCGGAGCAGTGGGCGGGGCCAGAATTTGAAGCACTGAAATTTCAGTGTATAGTTTTCAATGTGTTTAAAATTTCAATTTTTTTAAAAATTAAAAATCATCTATAAAATATTGGATGTATTTTTTTTCAAACCCTCAAATACGACTGTCTAAATTCGCATTGTAAAATACGATGAAGAAAAATGACCCAGCCAACATCCGGGATACTGAGGCATTTGCAATCGCTCTTGCAGAGTCGAATCACGCAACGGTATAGTAGTCACGGGAACAACCACAAGTCCACGGACGGAAATGGCAGCCGGTGGCCGCTCTTCGGTAATTATGTTCATATTTTCTAACCTTTTTCGAAGCTAATACTTATAAAATCTTACAAATAACAATTGCTTGACAACATTAATGTAAATGCTTGTACTCGCATAATTGGCGATTTGATAGAAACAACATTAATAGCGCTAGTTAATGCACTGTCATGCGCGCCCACCATAGACCACATGGCCCGCGCAAGTCAACCTGTTGTAAGGAAAACAACCACTAGGGGGCGATAGCCGCTACGGCTAATATGAAATACTGTCAACAAACATGGCAGCGCCCTTCTTCAACGATTTGATAGCATTTTATGTAGTGAAATAGAAAGAAAATACAGTGTTCTATGTCACTTATAGTAGGCTAATAAATATATTTGGTAATTTTACAGGATAGTCAGGCTGAAATAGTGCAGTCAGCAAGGCGTTTATTACATTTGCTGACTTCGTCTGAAAGACAGTCAAGTGCAGCAATTCAAGCCTCAAGTCAAGATAACAGGGATTTGCTTCACCATTCATTTGTTGTGAGGCAGCGTTCGATTTCAGCAGCAAAGACAGAGAATTTCTTGTTTCGTTTATGCATCAACAGTTTACAGTGTACTTAATTATTCATGGGTTTCAAGATATGGCAACCATCCTTCATGGTTATAGAAATAAAGCTATTTAAATTAAAATATTATATCTTTTCAATGGAGAAAGGTCCTCACAAAGTCCTTCAAATCTGGAAGGAATTGTTTGTCTGAAACACATGATTACATATTTACCTTCATTATGCCCAATGTAAAAAGCTACAAATGTTTAAATAAGTGGTTGTTTTATGTCTACCAGGATCTCCTGAACCAAGTTTTGAGACGACTTCAGTCTCGCCTGGAGCTTATTCTGGAACGTATTCCTTTGGATTTGGACTTTTTGGAGTTCACTTGCACCCAGGAGTTTGTTTTCTTGCATGCTCTGTCTAGTCAGGTACCCATATCTGCAGAAATATTAAATGCATTAATGGAATTGCACACTCTGGTGAATCATGAAAAGGAAAGAAACAGAGCACATGCTCGAGTAGTACAGTTTGAACAAGGACCAGCTGGGCGACAGAGAATGGTGGTGTCCTCAGACCACCTCCTACATCTACTTGAACTGAACTTGTCTGTGCCATCTATAGCCAAACTCATGGGAATCTCCAGGAGCACACTATACAGGCGTATGGGCGACTTTGGTTTCTCAGTGAGATCACAGTACTGCACCTTGACAGACGAAGAACTGGACCAATGTGTGAGAGAGGTAATATCCAGGCAGCCTCATTCTGGATATAGAATGGTGAAGGCTCTTCTGCAAGCCAGAGGACTGAGGGTGCAGTACGAGCGTGTGAGAGCCTCCATGCACCGTGTTGACACCAATGGAGTCATATCTCGAACACTTAACCTGGGCTGCATCAATCGCCGTACCTACTCTGTTCCAGGACCCCACTTCCTGATGCATATTGATACGAACCATAAGTTGATCCGGTATTCTTTTTACATTACAACATTATTAGTATACTGCTGCATTTGTTTTTTAACATTTTTTATTTTATATTATAGGTATAATATTGTCATATTTGGAGGGATTGATGGGTTTTCCCGTAAGGTAAGCTTATTAGTCCAGAATTGCAACTTGTTTGAGAATCATATGCAGTTGTTGTGCTGCTCTAAACATAATTTCATTGGTAAATTGGAAAAATAGAAGAGTAGGTGTAAACCTAGATCTTAATTAGAATTTATTATCTGTTCAGGCTTTAATGGTTCAGAAAAATAGTCATCTGCAAGTTTCTTTGCAAATGTATTCCAGTAAAGTATTCTAATTTAACTATATCATTATTTGTCATTTATCACTGATTAATATCGGGGCAATTTATTGTTCAAGTAGCAAAAAATAATGGCATTTCTTATTATTGCAATATGAAGTACACAAAATAAGTTATATGTAATTATGTATGTATAATTCTACTTAAACAATTTATATACATTTTAAATTGACCATATTTTAAGTGTATGGTTTATTTTTCAGCATAGAAAGGCTGTGGAGAGACCTATGGGTGGCTGTAACAAGCATCTATTACGATGTTCTCCACTACCTTGAAGAGGGCGGTTTTCTCAGCATTGGGAGTCTTGTACATCTCTTCTGTTGCCACTACGTGTTTCTGCCACGCCTACAGGAAGACCTGGACACCTTTCGATGTGGTTGGGATAACCACGCCCCTGGAATATAATACAAAATATTACAAAAAAGAATAGATTTCATTCACACTTGTGTGAGCTAACCTTTATCAATAGTCTGTCTAAATCTCCAAAGCTCAAAATGCTCTGTTCCACTTTGTGATGTCATGTAGTGGTAGTTTCAGGTTAACAGCTACTTTTTACCTTTAGAGATGGGCAATTCCAAGGCTGAAATCAACCAGGTGATTCTAGTGAAGGTGTTTAAAATGGAGTTTAAAAATACAATGGAGCACTTCCTGTATTACCACATGACATCATAATGTTTTCTGTTTGAAAGAAGAACTCAGCCTAAATATGCAGGATTTATGTGTTGAACATGTGTGAAGGAAACAAAACACAACCCTTTAAATACTGAAATTATATCTTCAAGTCATCTAATAGAAACTGCTCCTGAAACTATATAAATTCAGGTAACAGTAGATAGACAGTTGCTGGATCGATCTCCACTGCGATCACTGAATATTGACATGTACTCATGTATGAATGTGGTGAATGATTAGCAGCTTGATTACTTAATGATAAATTCAGTGATTAACAGATGCCTTAGAACAGGTGGTATTTTGTTTGTGTTAATCTGAATAACACTAATAAACCTGTGTGAATGAGAAGGAGTGAAAATGAACTAAGAGCACCTGTCAATCACTCCTCACCTGTCAATCACTCCTCACCTGACAGTATTCATAAAATGAGTTGAGTTTGAATCGTGCAGTAAACCTGTACAGTGTGACCCTATAGAGACTAGAGACAAACCAAGATGTCCACCACATGTCCCCCATCTCCTCTATGTCACCTGTCACTTCCTGTTAGCTCACTTGTCATTTCCTGTCTGCGCTAAACACACCGATCACAAACGACACAGTGGTCACATCCAACTTTTGCTTACTCAGCTGTCAATCATCTTGTCTACTGAGAGGAGAGAGACTATAGTTTAACACTGAGAATTCTACGGTGGAATTTGCTGTGTAACTGTCAGATTGCAGATTTGTTGACGTGGTTTATGGTTCATATCTCTATAATTACTGGACCTATCCACATGAAATAAAAACTGTGCACAAACTACACACAAACTCAAAACTCAGTATAAATTAACTTGGGGCAAATTCTTTTCACCATAGTACTAAATGGTGGCATTATTAAAACAAAAAAATAATGAACCTGTAATATTATATTGGATTTGCTGCTCAAAATTGTAACTGTTTTAAATTGTATTTTGCAGTGGGATCAGTTGCATACCTATTGCAGGCCTATTCAGCAAATTTTACTTTTCAGAGTTTTTAACCATGTTTTAGTTTTTTTCCAATCACCATTTACCCACTCAAAGTTGTATTTGGAGTGATTTGTGCATGTTTGAGCAATTACTTATTTTCAAGACGAACTCTTGCCAACCCCTGCTTTTACCGTCACCAGTACATGCCCACTTTACTTTTCTTAATCGGTGATACACATAGGATTCAGTATTTTAGTACAAAAGAAATCAAATACGCTGCTCCCTACTGTGATGTGCTGCTATCCGTTAGAGAGGCCAAGAGTATGCAGCACTTTGTTGTTGGGCACTGAAATTTTCTAACATGGAAGTTAGTGGACGTGTTTCCTTAATTAAGTTGTTTTAGATATAAATTGTGATTTGATATATTGTGATAGATTATAACTATATTGTAGAAGCAAGAACAATATGTCTTCTTTAAACATTTTGCAATAGGAGGCTTTACAACATCATTTTAATGTTTCTAATTTGTCCTTGAAATAAACATTTTATATACTTTAATATGAGGATTGGCTTCATTCATTTGTATGTAAAGAAGCATTCGATTTGATCTAACTTCGGACAGTAGTGGCTAGCATAGTGATCGAGTAATAGCAACATGCAGAGTTCAACAGGGTTCAAACCACACACTGTAAAAGCACGTTAGTGAGAATTACAGCCAGTAATCTCATTATTTAATCTCAGGCAGCACACATCACAACACAAAAAAAATAATTACATTCCCTGATTATTCCTAGATTCTTGTCTCCAGGCTCAGGCAACAGCTAACACCTAAGAATCAATCTAGTAATTATGTGTGATTATTTTCCCAGATTTTAGTCTTTAGGCTCAGGCAGCACACATGAAAGCATTAGTTTGAATCACAGCTAGATGATTTCCCTGATCTTCGTCTGTCAGGCTCAGGTAGCGCTTACTGTTTCAGCTCTTTGAACTTGGGCGTTTCAATTTTTTTCCTTCGAAGTGACGGAGATGGCTCTGGAGTTCGCTTCCCCAGAGATTTAACACTTTAACACACATCAGTGAGCAAAGAAACAAAATGGAAAACTATACAAATTAAAAGTAATACAGAGAATACGTCTTAAAATGTTTTGTTGAAAAATGGCTAAAATTGTTTTGAACTTGTTAAAAAGAGCTTCATCTCTGAGTACTAGCAGATGCAGTCCTTGTGCTCTCTGGTATCATTAGTATAAACATGTGTTATACCAGTGCAGACTCTGGGTACATATTTCTAACACATCACTGAGACACACATTGTTATTTCCTGTACTGATACTGTGCAGCTGATGTCATCGACATTCCCTAGAGGTGTGAAGCTAACTGAAAGCACTACTCTGTAAGATACTCAAGTTAGACACAATCTGACGAGAAAGAGCTGACATGGTTGGAATTACTGGTGGGATGATTTGTGTGCACTCACAAGCCAGCTAGCATTAACAAACAGTCACTCTCACCTTTTTTGCTGAAAATCAAACCCTAAACAGAACCATGAACGCTCGTAGTGGTCACAGGCTCCTGGAAATGCGTGTTTCATCAATTCATTTTGCATTTCTTGAGTTTTTAGACAATCTAAAAAATTTTTTTTGTGTTTGCTAATGTGTGCATTGTGTCTCCATGGGAACTGATGGACACTGCACCAGAGAGTTACATGTAACACCGTCATCATAATGTTACAGCAAAGTATCAATAATGAAATTTGTGTATATAGAGAATACCAGTGAAGTGCACATGGTTTGCATCTGCTGAAGCACTGAGGACTGAGGCAGTATTTTTTTTTATAGTGCAGGCAGCTGAACTCACATTGTGGGGATTTTGGAGGAGTAACCAGGAGACACAACATTGTAAATGTTATCCATGTCCCCGCCTCCTTCTGGTGTCTCAGCCAATGGGAGTGCAGTATTTGAGTCGGGGGAGGGGTCTGTGTTTGCATACAGCAGCTCCATCTGAGTCGCGGTTCGCCTCCTAGCCTGAAACACAAAATTAGAATGTTTCAAATTTGTGTAGTGATGAGGAAGAACTTGAAAATAAAAGTAAAATATATTTAAATGACTTGACCTTGTTCCTGCTCCTGTTTTCTCCACAGAGTTTCATCAGATCTGATGCTAATGGACTGTCAACAAAAAATGTAAATCAATACATCTAAAAGTAAACTATACATAAACTGTATAAAGTGGACTAAAAGATTGTAACATCACCCATAGCATCACATGAAGCTCACCAAATTTAGTAGTTGTAGCAGTAAATTTGGAGCAAAGTTCCATGTTTGGAATTCCAACTATGAGTATCAATGCAGCCAAAGAGCAAATACTGAGAGAGGCTCCTGAAGGTTTCCCCTCAACACCTCTGGTTTAGCAGGGAGCGGGTCCCAGCAACGCTGTCTGTCAAGCCTGGTGTTAATGCTAACAGGACCAACCTCAGGGAAAAAAGCCACCTGAATGGTCTGTTATTAATGTTCCTATCATGAGTCGATGAGGCCACAAGCCATGATCACGTTATTATTTTATTAGTTTGTCTAAACTGGGACTTACTTTCCCTCTGCTGAAGGACTGTGTGGAGACTCGTCGCTGCTGCTGTCGTCTCCATTTTCTGTAAAGCAAATGTAAACATTACACTTTCAGTTTGAGTTTACCCTGCTTCAGTGAGAAGAGTGTAGTGCCAGATTCAGTCTCTGGATTATCTGAGCCACATGGGACAAAGATGAAGGGCAGTTTATGGATCTTACAGACAGATGAGAAGCTGGTTTCAGGCTGTAGGGGCACAAACAGTGAAGCAGCATTTGAAAATGACTGTGGCCTCAAAGTGAAATCTTTGTTAAAAACATTTGACCAAAATCTATTACATTTATATAAAATGTTTGTCTATTCAACTTTTATAAAATGTGTATCAATTAAACTTTTATAAAATGTTTATAACTTTTGGTGAAAAAAAAAACTTAGATTTTTTATTTTTAATTTTTGATAATAATGCTTTGGCAAAGATGTAAATTTGTTGTGCACTTCCAGGCCATTGTACAAACAGTAGCTGGCAGTGTTAAAGTTGGTTAGATAAAATGGGACTTTACAATGTTTATAATTAGTATTTCCTTAGATGCCGTCTGATAGACGTTGTGTAGTTTATTTCAGTTTATATTGTTTTAGTGGCATTTTTAGGGCGTTTAAAGACAGCAGAGTTCTAAATATGGATGACTCACGGTTTGAGCTGTGCCCTAAATCTGTAAAACATCAAGACAACAAAATAAGAACAAAAAAGAACTCAAAAATACAGACACTTTAGACAGGACTTTAACACAGCACGACAGTAAACACATCATGCATGCTGGGATCAGACCATTTTAGGGACAAGTTTGAATTTGGACAAAACAAGAGTAATTCAAGTCTAACCCAGGACTGCAATAAATACAGTTAAACCAGGTCTAACCCAGTTCTAATCCAGGACTAAACCTGGAACTAAAACTTTTTGTCAAAAAAAAAAAAGCCTAAAATAAAAGAATGTGTGTGTGTGTGTGTGTGTGTGTGTGTGTTTTTTTTTCCATTTTGGTTGTGTTTATTGCACTGAAAAACATGCATCCTTACTCTGAGCGGGCTTGCATCTCCACAAACCTGACTCGTACTCTTCTTGTGTAAAAAGCAAGTCTCCTGCTTGTTCCTTTGGCTATAATTTTCCACAGTATGGCATAAATCTCCATGGGGAAAGTATGGATTTAAATTCCTAGTTCCATAGAGTCAAGCAAGTGATGTGCCAACTTCAGAAAGTTGCATACTGTAGGTCACTAGACCAAGACTAAACTAGATTTAAACCAGATTTAAACCAGGACTAAACCAGGTCTAGACCAGGACTAACCCAGGCCTCTCACCATGCAAAGCAGAGCCGAGCAGAGCCTCCAGTTCTGGGTTGAGTTGGGCCTTCTCCTTCAGCATGTGGAACAGGAGCTGGTTCTGTGTGGCACTAGTCAGTTCTGTCTGCCTCAATCTGCCCTCCACCTCCTTCAGCTGGGATTCTCTCTGGGCTGCTTGGAGACCCTGAATGCATCATGTGGAGAGGAGGTGAGAGGGGGTCAGTGTGATATGAAAGAAAAGATTTTGGGCCACAAACTACAGTGGAATAAACAGAACTAAATGTACTGTCACTGTAGTGTCACAGTCTAATGATGCGTTCAAGTCTTGTACAGGACTTGCACAGGACAGGTACAGGATTTGTGCAGGACTTTTACCTTATTAACAGCCATGTTCATGAAGTGGTCAAGGAGGAAACGAGCCTCAGGTAAAGAACAGGAGCCAATCAGAGCGGAGACATCTACTCTGTCTGTGTCCTCCTGAAAACACACAGAAATACATAGACATTTAAACTGATAATCTAAACAAGCAATACATCAGGACTAAACAAGGACTAAACCAGGACTAATCCAGGTCCAAACCCAATCTCACCTTGGCCTCCTCCATCTGCATGATGTTGGCTTGACAGTCGGAGATGCTGTCGTTGATGTAGTCGATGTTTGCACTCAAAGCCTCCACCTCCTCCATTAGAGGAATCAGGGACTTTTGCAGATCTTGGGACTGAACCTGGTCTTGGGACTGGTCCACGTCTGGTGTCTTAGGGTCCAGATCTGGGATCAGACCAGGGACCAGACCTGAGTCCTTGAGCAAACGTTCTTTGCGTCTCAGAACTTTCTCTTTCCTCCGAGTCAACTCCTCACGTTGCTACAAGAGAAAAAATTGATTAAACCATGTCTAAACCAGGTCTACACCAGGACTAAACCAAGTCAAAACCCAGCGGTCTTATCCAAGATTAATCTAGGAGTAAGATAAAACTAAATCAGGGATGAACCAGGTCTAATTTATGACTAAGCCACCCAGGAGTAAACCAGAACTAAATCAGGTACAGCAGCTCTAAACCAGGACTAAACCATTCTTAAACCAAAATTAAACCAGATTTGAACCAGGACTAAACTAGGGCTAAACCAGGTCTAACTCAGTACTAAACCAGCTCTGACCTTGAGCAGGCGATTCATGTCCGATTCCATGTTCGAGATGGTCATCTTCTGCAGAATCACGTCTGAGATCCTCCTCTCCAGAGACTGCCATTTGGTCCGGGCCATTCTACTGCTGTACAGCCCTCTGCTCCTATATGAGAACCTGAGAAAGAAAAAAGTCAGATGTTCTCCTGTGCTATGAGTCACATGCCCTCCCAAGGCCTCTGCTCCTAAATGAGAACATGAGAGAAAAGAGTGGGATGTGTGTCAGATTCCCTCCCACTCTCCTATCCCTGTAGAGTTAGACTGAGATGTCTCTAGTTAATCTGCAGATGTTGTGCTGGTTGAATAAAATATAGCGGCAGAATGGATTGTTTTTCTCAGACCTGGTCCCATTGGCACTGGAGTAGGTCCTC